AACCAAAGTACATCTATCAAATATCTTTTCAAATATATACATAAGGGATATGATAGAATAACATCGCATGTTTCTCTAAATGACACCGAACACATTGATGAAATCAAACAATATCTGGACTGCAAATATATTTCCCCGAGTGAAGCATGTTGGCGGATTTACTCTTACAACATTCATGGGAGAAAACTTGTGGTGGAACGTATGTTCTATAATTTAGTGGGTGAGAAGGCTGTTTACTATTCAGATCACGACCGAATGGAAAATATTTTGGAAAACGCAAGTGTGACTGAGTCTATGTTTACTTTATGGCTGGTTGCAAATGCACAATATGAAGAAGCCCGGTCACTGACTTATGCTCAGTTTGTCTCAAAGTTTGTTTACGACAAAGGTAATAGGGTCTGAAGGCCACGCAAAAGAGGGTTAACAATAGGTCATTTTGTATGGGTTCCCTCGACTATTGGAGAATTATTTTATTTGAGGATAATGTTGACGGTAGTCAAGGGACCTACAAGTTATGAAGATATTAGGAAAGTTTGGGACAACCAATATGAGACATTTAGAGATTTATGCTTTGATATGGGCTTTCACGATGACGATAAAGAATACATTGTTGCTATCAAGGAAGAAAGTGAGTGGGGTTCAGGACATTTTCTTCACATACTTTTTGTTGTAACGCTACAGTCGAGTGTTGTTAACCGGCCAGCACATGTCTGGACAGAATCATGGTAACTGTTGTCCGATGGTATTTTGCATTGCCAAAGATTATTAGCTATAAATCCAGGTTTCTTCATATCTCAGTCACACTTATTTATGCATACTATTTATTATGCTGCAACCTTACTTTCAGCATGCTGTCGCCGCAGGCATGCATGTATTTTTGTTGAACTCGTGTCTAATCTAACTACTTCAAAACTTTGTTTTACATCCTGCATCCTTACAGATTTGGCTTTGACAGTAACTGAATTGCAGAGTATGGCTTTAATAGAAATTGAAAAGCTAATGTAGGCAAATATAAGGACTCTCAAAGATTTTAGTCCAATTCCATATCCAGACACCTATGTAGTACAACAGTTAGGAAATAGGTTCATATATGATGAACTTAATTATGATTCTGCAGCTATGAAATTGGAATTTACGAAATTGTTCAATGCTTTTACTAGTAATTCTGCAAATTTGTTTTCTTATGTTAAACATTACCATTCTCTTCCTGGCTTTTTTATTTTACCTGTTCCTTTTCAACATTTCTTATATGAACAAAAAGGCATATATAAAAAAATTATGGGGGTTGTCCAGTCCCAGAATGGGGGTGTCTTCTTCCTTCATGGTTACAGCGATACTGGTAAGACCTATATGTGGAGAACCCTGGCGGCATCTTTGAGGTCCAAACACGAAATATGTTTAACGGTTTCCATCAGTGGTATAACTTCTTTGTCATTACCTGGGGGTAGAACTGCACATTCCAAGTTTAAGATACCTGTACTGACGCTTGATAATTCTACTTGCAAAGTTGAATACAACGATGATATTGTAGACCTTCTAAGACAAACAAGGCTAATTATATGGTACGAAGCACCAATGGCACACAAGCATGCTATAGAAGCACTTGACAAAACTTTGAAAGATGTTATGAGTACGTACAATAATTCTGAGGATATGTTTGGTGGAAAGATTGTAGTTTTCGGTGGTGACTTTAGAAAATTTTTTCCTGTTGTCCCACAAGGCAGCTGTTCGGATATTGTTCACTCGGCGATAAGTGCATCTTACATATGGAATTCAGTTCAGGTTTTAACGCTAACAAAAAACATGCGTTTGCATTCTGGTACGACAGAGCAAGATAAGAAGAAAATTGCATATTTTTCAGATTGGATTTTGAGAATCGGCGAAGGCAAAGTATCAGAGCCTAATGAAGGTGTTGCAGAAATTGACACCCCCTCCGAACATTTGATCACATACTTTCATGATCCTATTGTTGGCATTATGAATAATACATATCCTGATTTCATTAATAATTATCAATCCAGCGATTGCCTCCGGGGTCGAGCAATTCTAGCTTCGACATTAGAATTTATGGATGACATTAACGATCACATTCTTGCTTTAATGTTAGGTTGTCATATTCTTCCATTTTTCTTACTCTCTAATGTACATTGACTTCTATTTGTTAATTTATTTCTGTTCTGAAAATAGGAAACATACGCGACTAATACAGTTCAAATACAATTGATAAGTCCGAAATTCATGACACGGAAGTACTTGACATCCTGACACTGGAATTCCTTAGTTCCCTACGTATATCAGGTTTACCTAACCATCACTTAAAGTTAAAAGTTAGAACACCTGTTATGCTAATGCAAAACATAGACCAGTCTGAAGGTTTATGTAACGACACAAGGTTAATCATAACAAACATGGTAAACCATGTCCTTGAAGCTTTAATAATGTCAGAAAAGGGTTTTGGAAATTTGGTTTACATCCCTAGGATGGATATGTCACCGTCACAGTCACCATGGCCGTTCAAGTTAAATAGACGACAATTCCCAATTATTGTCTCATATGCTATGACGATTAACAAATTGCAAGGACAATCTTTGGATAACATAGGTCTCTACTTTCCAAGAGATAAATTTACCCATGATCAAATTTATGTTGCGCTATCGAGGGTCACATCAAAACAAGGAATCAAAATATTGATACATGATGAATATGGAAAGTTCAAAGTAACAAATGCAAATGTTGTTTACAAGGAAGTTTTCGGCAATATATGATTATTCAAATATTAGGTACGCTTTTATGTTACTGTGAATTATTTTCTTTAGGCTTTAGTGTGTGTAGTACATGAGTTTGTATCCTCACTATTCAGTATATTTAGGAATTACTATTATGCATCTTCTGTAAAAAAAAAATATGTTATTCCTTTTATATTTATTAACACACACCAATTTTGTTTGATTATTATACCATTTAATTTCGGCATTTAATTTTGGACTGTTGAGCGTAACATTCTCTGTGTAATAGTTTGTAGTAAACATAACCCTTTTTTGACATTAATTGAAAAACAAAACTCTTTGAAAAAAATTAGAAGCTAAATATTGTAATAAAATAGAGGTTTTATAGCAATAGTTTGTTTCCTAAGAACACACTGCATTTCATATCAGTGTTACTTAGACGATATCTTCAATACGTTGGATAGCATATCATTCACACTGCTTTCTTTATGCCTCATGTTACTGTCATACTATATAACTATAAAACAGCCTATTGAACTCATGTTGTTACTTTTGCTATTATAACATCAATTATCTAGATATTTTACCGCACAATGCAACTGAGAGTTGACGGTCTTGGTAGGATATTGTTAGCTTTTTTCGTTTAAATATTTGGTCAATATGTTTGTTTCAAAACTTATGATATTTCTGTTTCTTTTGAATGTCTTTACCAAAATTATTCTGTGTATCGTTAAACTTATATATGTTTTAAAATATTGTCTTATCTTATAATTAAGTATGTTTGTTTCCTATAATTCTATTATTTTATTATTATGTGACAATTAGAATTAATGCACCTATAAGGGAAAATGCTTGACAAAACTTACCATCTTTTGTTTTGCGCTTTAAAAGAGGTTTATATGTTTTTCATTTCCAACCATCATTCATTTTTCATTTTACCTTTTTACCTTGTATTTATAAATATCAATCAAATTTATTTATTCTTTTTTTCGTTGAATGTATTTTTTATTAGTCCGCTTACCCTTTAAACCAATATTTATAAAGCTAAATTATTTTGTAAAACTACAGTATACATAAACTAATTCTGGAAATAATATATTGTCTTTTTCGTTCAATCAATTATTTCAACAAATGAGCGTGCCCGACCAGTACCCGTACAAACGCACGGGTATCCCACTAGTTGATAAAGAAAAGTAATACACAAAAGGAGAAGGGGGGACAAAGCCAATATATTCTCAAAAGGAAATGAATCTAAAAAATAGCTAATTATTTGTTAATTTCCACTTTTAAATTATATTTCTATTTATATTTTGTCTAAAAATTTATTATTTTAATTAAATATAAATAGTAACAAAAACTTTATGAAAATATTAATTATACTTTTATAAAAATAATTTATTAAATAAAAAAAAAGTAGAAAATTGTGGGCTATATTTAATAGGGTTAAATATGTTTTTGGTCCTCATAAATATCTCTTATTTAATTTATATCCATCTAAATATTTTCTTGTCTTCCTAGACATTTTAATTTAATCTTTTGGTCTCTCATGTCAGAACCGTCCCTAAACTTGTCGTTAATTAAAAAATCAAAGCTAAAACCGTTGTTAATTTTATTGTAAAATTATAAAAACTATCGCTAAATTAGAAGAAATAAAATAAAAATATTTAGGAGGACCATTCTTTCTAAAAAAAATTTAGAAGGACTATAAATTTAATATGAGATATTTAGAAGAACTAAAAATATATCTAATCTTATTTAATATATCTCGTCAAAAAATTTTAAAAATATAAATATAAAGTGATCTCATTAAGTGTTATAATCAATAAAAAACTGTACTTGACTAATATATCTCCGCATACATTTTCTCCTATAAAGATTTGAGATATTTTGAATTTAAAACAACACATAATGGATAAAATTTATAAAATGTTTGCTTTATTACCAATGACAATATTAATTAATTATCTCTTTTGAAAAATAAATTTATAAAGATAATATATTTACTTTCAATAAATTTAATTTCACAACTAATTTTTTTAATTAAAAATGTAGCAAAAAAATATTTTTCCAACATGTTTTTTTGTAGTTATCTCATGTAAGCAAATATGCATAGTTCAAATAAAGCATTAAATATACGCAACTAAGATCAAGCGTTTACTTAATTCTTACTTCATACATTTCTTATATTAAGGGGATATAGTGTCTAAATTTCATAAACCAATTTTCAAAAAAATAGAGAAGGAGACAAAGCTAGAAAGTCATTGAGTCTTAGCCATGACAATGTCAAGTAGCTTCTCTATAGAAAACGAGAAATATGATGACGATGGAGTCATAAAACGAACAGGTTTGGATTTTGTTTAACCAATTAATTTTTTTTAATTTACTTTCTTATCATTTTTTCATAATCTTATGTTGTTGTTTCAACATTAATAATGTTTTAATCGCAATTCATGAAGGAACATGGGTGACTGCATCTGCGCACACAATAGCTGCTGTGATTGGATCTGGAGTGTTGTCATTGTCTTGGGCTGTTGCACAATTGGGATGGATTGCTGGAACTACTATTCTCATGCTCTTCGCTCTCATTGCTCTCTTCACTTCTCTTCTCCTTACAAGTTGCTATAGGTATCCTGATCCCATTTATGGAATCAGAAATCCTACCTACAAGGTGATGGTGCAAAATATTCTAGGTAAATTCCAAATTCAATTTTATATACTTTACTCTTCAGTCATATGTTTGAATAAACTTTACTCACTAGTTGTTTTTGTGGATTTGTTGTTTATTTTGTTTGTTGGTGTTGATGTTCTTTTGTTGATTTTGTGTTTTGTTGTTGTTGTATCATACAGTTTTTGCACTTTGAGACAGTCTTTGTTGAAATTTTATATTTTCAACTATTTAATATATTTTTGTTTGTCCTTAAAATAAAATCTAAATAAAATTTAAATTTTTTGTAAAATTCTTTTTTTTTTGTTTTTACTACCAGTATAATTCGATTCGATGATCAGTTCAATTGCATCAAGTTGATTGGTTAATATTGTACATTTCTATTTTTTGATGCGGAAAAATATGTTAATTACACTTTTGCTCTATTTTTCTAAAAAAACTGTCGGAAATCTCATAGCATCCATGAAAATATTTAGATCGAGATCTACTGATTGAGATTTGATTGAAATCATAAACATTCAATTTTTGATATTTAACTTTTCAATCATATAGTTGGATCAATTTCTGTAAATATACAACAACTAGTGTGAATATGTTAAATTTTGTAATGATTTGATGTTGGCTAATATTGTATTTTTCGGTTTGAAGAATATTTCGCGCGCAAAATAATATTTTGAATATACTTTTGAGTTATTTTTTATGAAAAATTGCGCGAAGTCTCATATAATCCTCATCATATTTAGATCTAGATTTAATAAGATTGAGATTTGAATGAAATTATACATATTAAATTTTCATATTTTACTTTTTAGTCATATATTTGGATCAATTCTTGTAACAACTAGTGTCAATGTGTTAAATTTTGTAAGGATTTGATGTTACTAGTATTGTATTTTTTGGTTTGAAGAATATTTCGCGCGAAAAATATTATTTTGAATATACTTTTGCTTTATTTTAAAAAAAATACCATGCGAAATCTTATCTCATCTCTAATTATATTTAGATTTAGATTTAATGATTGAGATTTAAGTATTGTATTTTTTGGTTTGAAGAATATTTCGCGCGAAAAATATTATTTTGAATATACTTTTGCTTTATTTTAAAAAAAATACCATGCGAAATCTTATCTCATCTCTAATTATATTTAGATTTAAATTTAATGATTGAGATTTAAGTATTGTATTTTTTGGTTTGAAGAATATTTCGCGCGAAAAATATTATTTTGAATATACTTTTGCTTTATTTTAAAAAAAATATCATGTGAAATCTTATCTCATCTCTAATTATATTTAGATTTAGATTTAATGATTGAGATTTAAGTAAAGTTTAAATATTTAATTTTTGATATTTTACTTTTCAGCCATAGATTTGGCTCAATTTATGTAAATACTGTATATAAGAATTACGGTTCAGCATTTGACGTTGTTTAGTATTTTTCTATTTGAAGAGTATTTCACATGAAAAATAATATTTTGAATATTTTTTTTTTCATAAAAAAACCGCGCAAATCTCATCCCATTAAATTTTTGATATCTAACTTTTAAGCCTATATTTGGATAAGTTATACTTTTAGGCCTATATTTGGATATGTTTTTGTCAAAATAAAACTACTGACAAAATAGTTTTTTATTGCAAGGATTTGATGTTGTCTAATATTATTATTTTTTATTTGTGGTACATTTCATGCTAAATAGTTTTTTAAATACAATTTTATTTTTTTAAATTTTTAAATTTTTAAATTTTTAAATTCCGCAAAATCTAACCATGTCCTTAATCTTAAATAAATCTAAATCTAAAAATTGAGATTTGAGTAAACTCATAAACATTTCAAAAATGAAATAAATTTGAAACTATTTTAAATAATTTTATGTAAAAATCTATTTTTTAAAATCTTTTTAATAAATATTTTTATTTCTAGTAGGTTTTAGTTTTTAATAAATTATATATATGATACAAGATATTTAAATTTATATTTAATTTATGAAAAAACATTTAAAAACTTCTAATATTTTATAAAACGTTTTTATAAAATTATAAAAAAAAAAAGTTTTTTAAAGATAAAACAAACCGACCATGTTCTAGACATTTTTGGGTCAATTTTTATTTAAGTTCAAATTTTTCCAAGGATTTAATATTTACTGTTATTAATTATATAATTTTTTCTTTTTTAAAGTTAAATGAAAAATCAGGTCCATTAATTACATTAATTTCCTTTGTTCACTACTCTATTACAAAATTCAATTTTCAACATTTTTGCTTTTTATTCTTATAATTGGATCTATCCAAAATAACTAATGTTAAAATAAAAAAGGATTTTTTCGTTTCAACATTTTGTTTATGGATTTTATTTTTATTGAATAGAGGGCAAAAAGTTCAAAAAAAGATAGATTACACCGGATTTTTTCTAAGGATTTAATTTTGATTAATATTGTATTGGACAATATTAATAGTATTTTCAATAGTGAAAATTTATTGATTCTTTTAACTCTTAAGTCGGTTGTTTATTTTTTTTAACCAAGTTTGATGATGTGGCAGTATTGATTTCTAAAATTAAAGAGATGAGAATTTTTGAAGTAATTTCAAAAGTGGAGAACTTAATATTATATATTATTATTTTTGCATCAATTTAATTGAAAAACGATTATTAAATTGTAGTAGAAATAAAATTATATAAATTAGTGAGATCAAATATATGTTGCTTATTTATAATTGTAATTGGATCAAAAGTAATTGAAAAGCAATATGGCAATTTGACCCACAAAATATGACACAAGTAACCAAAAAATATATGGCACAAGCAATCAAATTTTTTTTTCGTAATAAATTTTCTTACGTGCAATTCTTTAGTTGTGCTTCTTACTATTTTTTAATGAAAATATGATAAATATACTTTAATATCATTTAAGAAGTGAAAATAGGAACAACTTGCATATATGTAGGAGGAAATTATATATTTGTCATATTTTTATTAAAAAATAGTAAAAATCACACTTAAAGAATTGTACTTAAATTTTGACATATTATATTTATGTATTTCTAATGTCTTATGCTTAAAATAATTTTTCAAAGATAATTTTGCTTATTTTTTAATAAAATAACTCGAAAAATCTCATTCCATTCATAATCATATAAATTAAGATTTAAAAATTACTTTTTATTTTGTTTTTACTTGTCCGATTTTGAGAATCAATTCTAACATTAAGTGATTTCAACCTTTTCTGATCCCAGTGGTTGATGATTGAACCATTCTCCTTTCTACTAAATCCAACGCGCGCCTATCAACACTGAATAAACTAACAATTTATTTTAAAAATTAATTTATACATACAACTATCTAGACTATTATTTTGATCATCAATGATCACCCTCTAATTAAATTCTTGCCGATTACCACCACACCTTTTCCGATGATCAATTTGACCACTAATGATCACCACAACTAACAACTACTTTGACTAATACTCTGATCATCTAAATCACCACTCTAACCACCAGTGATCACTAAACTTAACCATGGCTGAATTGTAGAAGTACAATCTTATAGTGAAGATGAAACCATATTCAAATTCATTTTTGGTTTCTTGTAACTTTTCTTTCTTTCTTTTTTCTTACAGGAGGATTTCAATACAAGCTTTGTGCATTAGCTCAGTACACAAATCTTGTGGGAGTTACCATTGGCTTCACTCTCACAGGATCCATTAGCATTGAGTAAGAACTTCAAAAATCTTTAGCCAATTTATATAAATCACAGTAACACATGATTTTATATCATTATACTCAAAACTCCGAATTTTATTACATGATAATAGTAATAATAATAGTTGCTTGTTTATGATCAGGGCCATACAAAAATCCAATTGTTTCCATAAGAATGGCCATGAAGCAAACTGCACTTCATCCAGCTATCAGTTTATGGCAATCTTTGGAATCTTTCAGATTTTACTAAGCCAAATCCCTAATTTCCATGAACTTACATGGCTGTCTGTTGTTGCTGCTGTCATGTCTTTTGGTTATTCTCTCATTGGCATTGGTCTTTCCATAGCAAAGATTGCAGGTTAGACCTTACTTCCACTTTTTAACATCAATGCCTATGGATGATATTTTAAACCAACATAAACTGTTTATTATTTGGATCTTGAACATGTACAGCGGGAGGAAAAATTGCCCATACAGGCCTTACAGGACTAGTTGTTGGAGATCATATCACTAGCAGAGAGAAGATGTGGAATAGTTTCCAAGCAATCGGAAACATAGCGTTTGCATTTTGTTTCAGTATGGTCATTGTTGAGATACAGGCAAGTGATTTTATAATCATGCTCATTTAAACTTCCTTAAATTGTTAAACAAAATTAAAATATAAAATCACATTTCAATTTTATTTTTCTTCTTGTAGGACACTTTAAAATCAAGTCCGCCAGAAATTAAAGCCATGAAGAAAACAACCTATTATTCTGTTGCAATCACCACATTCTTTTATGCAATGTGTGGTCTTCTAGGCTATGCAGCATTCGGGAACGAAACACCGGGAAATTTCTTAACCGGATTTGGTTTCTACGAACCATACTGGCTCGTTGACATAGGTAACATTTTCATTTTTATTCATCTCGTTGGAGCTTATCAAGTCTTCGCACAACCTATATTTTCGGCTGTAGAAAATTGGGGAAATAAGCGCAATCCACAAAGCAAATTGATGAAAAAAGAATACAATGTAAAAATCCCATTGGTTGGAACATGGAGAATGAACATCTTCAAGTTTATATGGAGGACAACCTATGTGATAATCACAACATTGATTGCTATCATATTTCCTTTCTTCAACAACGTTGTGGGTTTGCTAGGAGCTCTATCGTTCTTTCCATTGACAGTGTATTTTCCAACAGAGATGTATCTAACCAGAGCTAAAGTGCCCAAATATTCTTGTGTGTGGATTGGGATAAAAGCTCTAAGTGTTTTTTGTTTGCTGGTCTCTGTTGTTGCTGCAGTTGGATCAGTTGAAGGAATTATATCTGACCTCAAGACTTATAAGCCCTTAAAGGCTACTTAAACCTTTTTTTTCTAGCCTATGTTAAATAAAATAAATCTAGAAGTTCTTATGTCAAAGAATATTGAAGTTGTTTACAACATATGTAATATTTATATTTATGAGATTTCAGAAAGAATATTGAAGTTGTCTACAACATATGTAATATTTATATTTATGAAATTTCAGAAATTATATTGAAGTTGTTTACAACATAAGTAATATTTATATTTATGAGATTTCAGAAATTATAATAGTGTATCATAAAATAATCTGCATCTCCTATAATAATATATTACGGAAAACATGTGTTATCAAAATTGGACTAGATATTAAATGGGTGTATGAAAGAGTTCAAAGTTTAAAAGTTAAATCGAAGTAGGACTCAGATTGAACCAATACTTATAAAATAATTAGTGAGATACCCGTGCAGTTGCACGGGTGTCCGGCGTGTTATGTGTATTTATTTAAAATATTATTCTTATTAAATAGAAGATTTTAAATTAACAAAAATTTGTAAGTAATTAAAAAGATGTAGAAAATGTTGTAAGAATATTATTATAATAAATAAAAATTTGAAAATTAATTAGAAAAATTTGTAATTAATTAAAGAGATATTAATTAAGAAAATAAATATGCTAAAAAATATGTGAAACTAATTGAAAAGTGCTGGAAAAAAATATGAAATAAATAAATATATGTAAAAGGAAATATAATATATAATAACTAAATGAAAATATATTCAATGTATAAAAAGGTGTTTAGAATGAAATATAGTGTACAGTTACTAAATGAAAACATAGACGTATAGTATTAAATGTATGTGTTTTTTTCCTGGTGCACTAAATTTAATTTTTGTATAATTTTTGTATATATTATTGACGTACAATCCAGATAATAAATGTTAGGCATGTTGATAAAGAAATGTACAACAAACAGAATGTCATGCTGAACAGTCTAAAAATAAAAGGTATAATAATCAATCAAAGTTGGTGTGTGTTAAGAAACATAAAAAGAATATCATATATTATTGAGACATATGGGGCTTAACAATAACTCCGAAATATATCAAATACTGAGGTTACAAATTCATATATTACACACTCTAAAGCAAGAACAACACAATACAGACTAACAAAAGAACAGGACTATACAACAGGATAATTCCACAATCTATCTATTGTGTGTGTGTATATTGAAGTTATAGAGTTAAACTGTAGCATAAAAATTACTTATTGGTGAATAGGAATAATATGACACGATGGACACGCCGACACTGCTAATGTAAAAAACATAAGTCACAGACACCAATATATAAATATTTATTTATACATCATACTTAAATAACATATGAAAATTATGTATAAAATATTCAAATTGGTAATCAAAATATATGAGTGCATATATAAATTGAGCAAGAAAATTATAGAACTATATCATAGTTTTTCACTTCCATTCATTTCTCTATTACCAAAAAGCTGAAAGTGATGTAAATTTATGTTATTAACCCTCTCATAGATCATCACTACTTCGACATGCCTTCCGTTCGATTCAAGGAACAAACATGATTTGGTACCCCTTATATTGTTCAAGTATGGCGATGTAAAAGGATTAATGCTAAACTCTTCGTGGTTGGTTAATTGGTTTGGGAATTTTGTGTCCTGCAAGCTAGGTGACGACTCTTGTGTTGATATGTGGAGGAACATTTGGCTTGGTGGTGAATATCTTACGCTGCAACTTCCCACTGTTTTTTGCTACATCATTTGATTTTTCACCACATAACAACAATTATCACAACATAGCAGTTCTAACTTAAAGGAAAATAAAACATGACAGCCTTTTTACAGAGTTAACACAATGGAATTTTAACACGAAAAAAATGATGTCGAAATTACCGAGCGACGGTTGATGATGAAGATCGAGGAAGCTTGCAGTTCACACCCACAGAGCTGGCGTTTGGCAGTGGTCTCTCTCAGCCTTTGTCAAAGAGGAATGAGCTGGCATTTGGCAGTTGTTGCAGAATCAAAGAGGATTGAGCTCTACAACATCTTATATTCGTTATCTCCTTCAGCCTCTGTCAAAGACAAGTTTTCTTGGTGGCGCGACCCTGCGGCTTCTCCTTAAAACCAGCTTTTCTTAGTCTCCAAACTTTACCTCGCAGCAGCGACCCAATTTCAATTTATCTTGCGATGGTTCTCCATAGTCTATGGAAAGCTAATATTCCCTCTAATATGGAGACACACCTAACCCCATATGTGTCTGTGCTTCATAGATTCATAGATGACAAGGTGATCAAGAGTGAAGAATTCATTAAGATCTAGCATATACATCATCACTAAACACAAGAATATTCTAATTTTCCTTTTACAAAAGAAAAAGGTGCAAAGACATTGAAAAACATGAAATTAGGGACCATAAACATTCACCTATAACAGAAAATATGTGTCTGCATGAATCCAAGAAAGGCTTGGTCAGAATCTCCCCTTGCTTAGACGTTACATGATGGAGTTCTTCCAGTGCAGGAGTGAAAACAATCCCTTTTATTTTCATACTTTAGCACAACATTCTAAACAAATATATTAGCACAAACATCAAATCTACATATTAGCCACTACAATTCAAACAAATTTCTCATTACTAAATTATAGTTTATCATCTAAGAATGTAAAATTATTATAGAACACAAATCAAGAACTTTCACGGGAATTGCAGGATCATAATCAATATAAATAAATAAAAAATGATATAATTTTTCTTGGAATGAAACAAAAAAAGCATTTATCCATGAACAAGGAAGAAGAATTGGAGGAAATGTGATGTATACGTACTGTATGGAATGGCGAGACTGGAGGGAGAGAAGTGTGATATGATGAGATCATAATGGTGTTTGATATGAGAATCAGATACCAAAATCAAATATCAAAGTTAACATTTCAAGAACCAATGTAATCATTTAAAACAAATACAATGATCAGTCAGAAACTTCAGTTGATAACAGCGATATTAAGAAAGTTCAAAACTGAATATTTGGAACATAACTGAATATATGGAACTTACTATGAATGTATAAGGAAATCGGTAAGCATTTTAAATCCAACATAACCTTTTTCTGGCTACAATGACTGAATTTAGTTTCAGAAATAAATTGGAAACAATCATTGCGAATTGAGCCTTAATATGTACATAACTTATAATAGTAAACAAAAAAATCTAGACATCTAAGTGCTCTATAAATCCAAACACACATGTGGTTATAGATTTTACAAATTCATATGCAATAAAACTAAATTAACCATGACGTACAAATTACAATCAAATAGATTACCTTCAAAGAAACATTTTTCTTCCAGAAACTCAAAGCATTACTCATGTGCTCCAATATGATTTTTGCCTTATTATGTTTACTACCCTCTGTCATTCAGGGGACCAAAACACCATAACATGAGTAAAACCAAAGAGATAAATGTAGAAGTCACTTGGAGAATGAATGAAAAAATATGATTGTGTAGAATTTATTACCTGGCATGGCATCACGTGTATCATGCATAACAACTGCTCGGAGTTCTAAGTGAAAATGACTCTCAACATGTTGCTTAGTGACTGTCTTTGCCACTCCTTTGGATTAGCGTCCCTCAAACTGCCGGGCCAGTAAATTTCCAAGCCACCGTTCAATATGGGACACAGTACCACGAAGAAAGAATAACCAAACCCTCCACATTGGTGCCCAAAACCCATAACCTGGTCCTTTCCCAATAGGACGAGTAAATTGTTGCACATTCTAATCTGCCTCATAAGCCTATATTTATTTGATACATAGCAGTCAATTGACCAACATAACAGAAAGTATATTGGAGGACATCCACCAATTGGAAAGCATCAATATTACCCAAATGGAACTGAACATTAGCACCAACCACAAGTTTCGTCAAACGAAGGATATCACGACAAAGATGAAAAGCATTACCAAGAAAATTAGTCTTTCTTATTCAACACTGAGAAAATGTATAGATCTATAATCTATTTTTCTAACATTAGTATTTCTTATTCAACACTGAGAAAATGTATAGAACTATAATCTATTTTTCGACTATGAAACTTAATTTTACACAAAAGATTATAAATATCTTAGAACAATAAAAACTAATAAGGAAATAACAGGTTTATGCAACAAATTAAAAGATTTATCATCTCATGCTATTCAAAAGCATGTGATAGTTTCAGTGTGGTTGCAAACATAAATGTTGGATGTTATTCTCTATGACATATTGAGGTATAACATGTTTTAAAAATATAAGAAAACAGTTATTTACATAGTGGACATTGAAAATAGTTCTAAACCATCACAATCAGTGCTCTGTCAACTCGACAAATCATATATTGTTGAAAACCTCTTTATATACAATATTTGTGGTTGTTTCTCTGAACTTTCCATGTTCATCATGTATCAATATTTTGATTCCCAGTTTTGTTGTCACCCTTGATAACGCAACATAAATTTTCCCATGTGTAAATACATATCTTGGCAAGTAAAGGCCTACATTATCCAAAGATTGTCCCTGTGACTTGTTAATCATCATTGCATATGAGACTATAATTGGGAATTGTCATCTATTTAGTTTGAATGGCCATGGTGATTGTGAGGGTGACATATCCATTCGAGGAATGTAAACTAAATTACCAGCACTCTTACCAAATATTATCGAAGCCTCAAGGACATGGGTTTACATCTTCGTGACTATTAGTCTGGTGCCATTACACAAACCTTCTGACGGATCTATGTTTCGCATCAGCATAACAGGTGTTCCAACTTTTAACTTTAGATGATGGTTAGGTAAACCTAAGGTACGGAGGGAACTGAGAAATTTAGAGGTGAGGATATCAATTACCATCGGGTCATGAATTTCAGAATTATCAACTGAATTTGAGCTGTAGTAATCACGTATGTCTCCTGTGATGTTACGACAAACAAATTAGCGAAAAAGTACTTACGATATACAACATAGTTAATAGTATGGATGAGTAAG